TTCTTGCTTCTTTGAGATTCTAGGGTGTCCCAGCTGGCAGGCCCACTTATAGAAAGTTAGAAGTTAAAGTTTAAAAGGTTAGACTATTACAGTTAGTTATAGGCTGTAGTAGGTTAAGCTACACAACAAGTCTTGTCTGATGTTACTGATTCACACATTTATGTTCATCCCATAGTATAGACCCAGTACTGAATTCCAGATCAGATTGTGAAAGAAGAGGATATTTGGGAGAAGGATGTGCTAACTGTTGTCTGTGGCTTGACTTGCACTGCAGGCTTCAAGGAGCAGATTTATGATGTGTACAGATACCTGCCTCCAGCCACACAAGTGGTTCTGATCAGCGCCACTTTGCCGCATGAAATCTTGGAAATGACCAACAAGTTCATGACAGACCCCATCCGCATCCTGGTGAAACGGTCAGTGAGTTTCCTTGGAGAGAACAGGGACTCTGAGTTGGGGCAGCCCTGGGCAGGTCACAATATTCACTGATTTAAATGTACAGGGGGTCTCTGTGTTCCTTCTCATCATTCCGAGTGTCCACAGATGTGCTCATCTCCTGTTTCCCAGCAGGGGCTGGCTTATCTCCCTGACTTTATCCTTGTCCAGTTTGTGTGCTGCAGCTCAGCCTGGATGTCCCCTCATTCTCCCCATGGATAACAGTTTCTCCTCATGGAAATCTATCCTTCACACTTCTCCAATTCCTGGGCTCCCCCAGAGGATTGTTTTTTAGGCTTCCTGTTAAAATCTCCTATTACATGGCAGGTAAAAAAGGCCCTTTAGCCAACTGATCCCGGGTGTTCTTGGAGGCACCATTTTACATCTGGTGGTGTCACGGGTCCTTGTGCACTGGGACTTGGGAGGAGTCTCCCTCTTCCCTGAGCTCTTACACTGCCCCATTTCGTACATTTGTGCTTCTTGAGACTTTCTTCAGTCTCTCTTGTCAAGAAGCTGGAATGTAAAAATGATGAGAACAGAAATGTTCCCCTTTGGAGCTGTCTGGCTGGAGCAGAGCAGTTCCAGTCTTTGCTGCATGGGTCATATTCAGGGCCCTTCTTAAAGCTGAGTTTTCCCAGGACTTTCTGGAACAACTTGGATTCCATCTGGACCCAGCAGCCCACAGCACATGGGGCAGAGGGGTGGTCTCTGGTGCAGCACACCCAGCCCCTCTAACTGCTTGTGGTGTTCCTCCCTGCAGTGATGAGTTGACCCTCGAAGGAATCAAGCAGTTTTTCGTGGCTGTGGAGAGGGAAGAGTGGAAGTTTGATACCTTGTGTGATCTCTACGACACGCTGACCATCACCCAGGCTGTCATCTTCTGTAACACCAAGAGAAAGGTACAGGGGCCATCAGGGGGGCATGGTGCTTCCTGAGGGTGACTCCAACAGTGCTGGATTAGTTAAGAGGTCTGGTTGCTCCCCCATTTGGAAATAGTTCAGTAGGACCATAGGTTAAACCTTTGGGATGTGCCTAACTTAAAACAGCAGAGGCAGACCTGATACAGCTGACAGGAATTGCCTTTTTAGAGAAGTAGGAATGTGCTCAATCTAACTGCTTATAATTCCTGGAGCAAACCCACAGTTCCTGAATAAATGCTCTTAATTCCTTTCCTCTCAGGGCTTGTGGAGCCCTGTATCACACAGCTGATGCTTTGTAAGGATTATTTACTTCCCTTAGTCTCAGAATGCTTGTGGAGGTGTCTCAGTTCATACCAACCCATCTCAGCAAACATTCTGGAGCTCAGCTGCTGTGCTTGGCTGTCTGAGCAAATAACTAACCCAGGCTGTGTTCACAGGTCGACTGGCTCACAGAGAAGATGAGGGAAGCCAACTTCACCGTTTCCTCCATGCATGGGGACATGCCCCAGAAGGAGAGAGAGTCCATCATGAAAGAGTTCAGATCTGGTGCAAGGTAAATGCCTCAAATGTTGCTTAGATCAGTGCTGCCTCAGGGCAGGGAAACCCTAATGCCTCTGTCTCAAGGCTTTGTTCAGCTCAGATTAAGGAGAACTCTGATTTCCATCTCTCTCCTGTGGTGTGGAAGGGTTGAGAGCTTGCCATTTTCCAAGGAGGGACACTCATACCTCTGGGTGTAGAATTAGTCTGTCTGTTTTGCTGAAGACGTTGGGAGTTGCTACACTTAAAATTCAAGGAAAAATGTTTGTGCTCCATCCTCAGTATTTTAAACACTTGGGAGCATTATTCCTTCTGAAAGATCCAAGCTGTGTTGGTCCTATCTTGGCTGAAGTTTGGTGATAGTGCAAGGGACAGCTTTCCATGCAGCAGAAGTGTGGGTGCTGCTGGTGTGCTGTGGGCAGGGGGGAGCATGGAATAGCAGGGGATGCTCTGTGCTGGAGACTGCAGGTTCCCAGAAAAGTCCTGACTGCGCCCTTCTCTTTGCAGCCGAGTTCTTATTTCCACAGACGTGTGGGCTCGAGGCCTGGATGTGCCTCAGGTGTCGCTGATCATTAACTACGACCTGCCCAACAACAGAGAGCTCTACATACACAGGTAGGCTGGGGCTTCCCACGGGCCACTGGGGCTGGGGGAAGTCTCCCACAGTGGCTCCATTCCCTCTTCCCTCGTGCCTCTGCAGAATCGGCCGCTCGGGCAGGTACGGCCGGAAAGGCGTCGCCATCAACTTTGTGAAGAACGACGACATCCGCATCCTGCGGGACATCGAGCAGTACTACTCCACCCAGATCGACGAGATGCCCATGAACGGTGCGTGCTGCTGGCCCTTCCTCTGGGGAGAGCACGGGGCAGCAGTGCTGGGCTGTCCCGCTGGCCTGGGGCTCTCCACACACTCACTAATCCTTTCCTTTTCTCTCCTTTCAGTTGCTGATCTGATTTGAAGGTCCGTGGTTAGCAGGAAGTTGTACCTTTTGGTACCCTCCACTATTATCTTTTGGACCCACATCCTTATATCGTATTTTTTGTCGTATGTTCTTGAGTTGAGCTGCACTTGAGAACTTGTGTAAATATTGTCTGTACTCCCACCCATGTTTTTCAATTAAAAAAGGAGGTTTTACCATAACCTGTGCTTAATTACTTTAACCCAGCACAGTAACAGGCAGGGAGTTTTGAGATACTGCTGTACTTGGCTAGCATAATGAAACAAAACACTGGACATTCCCCATATCTGGGTTCATAGAACACAGGGCTTCCTGTTCTCTACCCTTTTGTTATTGTTGTGCCACGCCGCCTGATGTACTTTTAGTTTCCTTAACTTAACCTTAGGATCAGACATCTACAGGAAAAATCTGTGACCTCACCCTAGTCTGCTGTAGGAAAATTAAGTTAGGAGATAGCCAGAAATTTCCTGCTGGTTACATCTTTCTGGAGCCAGAAATCACCACATGAAGTGCTCCAGATGGGGATTTCCTATCCCAAGGAACTTGGGCACACACTCCAGAACAGAAGGAGCAAGTATTCTGTCTTGTCACCTTCTCCACCTCTTTCTGCTGCTGTCCCTTGTTACATCTGCCCTGTCACCTCTGCCCCTGCGTCTCTCTCTGGCACGATGCTGTACTTTGCCAGCTGTAGGATCTTCCATGTAACTTACCTACCTCACTCTGCCATGTCCCTCTGTGAGGCAGGAGTTGGCCACAGGTCAGTTACCATCTTCTGCTCTCAGCCTTTCCTGCTAAATTCAGCTTTTTGCATGCTCAGGGAGGACAGGGCAAGCAAGGCCTGAGTACACCACAGAATGGGGTTTGCACAGAATTGGGTCAGCTCTCAGAACTCCTTTCCTGAGTAGCAGTGGAATAGCTCAGGGTAGAGAAAGCAGCTGTCACCTCCTTTAAAGCCCTGTGACACTCCTCAGTTCCCTGAGGAACCCACTCCGTGCACCAACCTGATGTTCTTAACAGTACACAGAAGTTGAGAAATGCTAAGCTTGTTCTACTAGGAATACTGATTCTAAGGGGTTGCCCATGGAGGTGAGGCCACTACAGCTTCATGTCCCCATGTGCCACCAGCAACAAGGCTGAGCCAGCATTCCCACTGGGCACACGCAGGGAATGTGCTCACACCATCCTTCCAGATCAGTCTTCAGCACTGGCACAACAGCACCAACACCCTCACCTGCCCCTGCACCCAGTCACCATGAAGGGTTGTTGGGGACAATACACACACAGGCTCTGGATCCCTCCAGGAACTGGGCAAGGAGGCTCAGCTCATCCAGTCTCCAGCCTGGGGATCACCAGTCTGTTCCAGTAGCCAGCAGATGGACATGGCCCACAGCTGCACCCCTGCACATCCCCACGGTGCCTGCCCTCAGCAGCTGGCCTTGAGACAAGGCTGTCCTCAAGTGGCCCTTGCAGAGCCTCTCTTGCCCCCACAGAGGGAGTCACACATGAAAATGGAGCCCCACCCTCCAAACCAGCCCAGACCTTGTCCCTCTTGCAAAAACAGATGTGTCCAGCCCAGACCTAGAACTGCTGCCACACCTGGCTCCCTTACCCTCCTTGCTGGCTAAATCCAGCTCGCTGTTCAAGTGACACAACCTCACTCCAGGCTGCTGCCACTCCAAACGTGCAGGCCCTGGGACCCCAGGTCCCATTCCAGTCCCTGGCACCTTGACCTCCATGCCCATAGAACAGAGTCCCCTTTTCCAGGGAAGGGTGAGAGGGGTTAACAGTCAACACGGCCAAACAAGGACACGAACCAGCCCCTTCCCCCACCTCATTAAAAGTCATCTTGACCCTTCTCTCCCTTCGATCCCTCCCACAAGCTCGAGAGGATTTTGTATTTGTGCTGCAACTTGGTGGCACAGTGTTCAGGAACTCTGCCCCCACAAACCTTGAAGAAGCGTACGTATAAAGCCTCCCAACTCCTTGACAACATGCTATGAAGAGTTCTACTTTTGCCATCTCCACAGGGCACAGTCTCAAATCTGACCTGCACCTTCCTGGAGACCGCGAGCAGCAAGGGCAGGCCTGGCCCTGCGAGCCCCCGTGTGACTCATTTGGTTCGTAAGAGATTAATCACCACAGCACGGGCTTGTTTGAATAACAGTATTTAATCTGTACAGGTTGAGATATCATAAAATGCGACATTCCTACCTCATCTTTAGCATCATTCCCCTGGAGCTGAGCCCTCACCTGCAGAGGGCAGGTAACCACCACTCCCCAGCAGTTCTTTGCAGTGCAAAAGTCACAGTGCAATTGCTTTAGTCCTAGACAGATGATTTCCCTCACTCAAGAGAGGGGAGATGTTAAAGCTCAAATGTTGATGAAAATTGTTACCATTTAGGAATGCAAACAACCCAGCTATTGCACACAGCCATTTCCAGCTGAAACTACAGCAGTTAATTGTTTAGCTGCCTTTACACTACACACAGTTGATACTGATTTAGCCAAGAATGAAAGTAAAGCCAGTAACAAGATTTCAGAGTGATACAATTGTCGGAGGGCAGAATCTGACAAGCAACTCCACAAGTCAAAAGCGTGCTTAAGAACAGCAGGAGGTTTTCCTATACAGGGAGGGGGTATGAGCTGGACAGAGGTCACCTTCCAGAGACAAGCATGAGAGGAACATCGGCTTCAATAGAAAGCTATGAAGTACAATAGAACAAATCTGTTCATATAATTGTCAGGATAAGTATTTGACATAGTTTATGTAGTAGAATACAATACTTGAACATTTTTTAAAAATAAGCACGGATTTCATTTCATATATACACAACTGATTTTAATAATGTACTGAAAATAAATTACAGGAAATAACTTTAAAATGCAACAGAAGACAAGAGTTTCACAACAAACATTCCCATTGATTTTTCCAAGGGGGTGAGAGATTGCAGTGCTCAAGGCAGGTAAATATCACAAATATATCAAAAAACTTCAAATTGTTGATGCATTCACACATTTACATGAGCCACAAACATTCCTTTACAGGAACTGCACTTAGCTACCACAGAACCAGGTTTTGCCATAAACTACAAAACTTTGATACAAAATCGTATTTATATATTTATATTTCATATACATGCCCTATCTGTGATTTCTTAAAAAATAAAAACTAAACACACTGTACAGACAATCCTAACTCATTGCTTGGTAGCTGTAGGCAACATTTTTGGATGGAATTTCTTCCCCAGTAGAATTAATGGCAATATTATATACATGAAGGCTAAACTGCAGAAAAAGACAGCTCAGTTCCGATATGCACCTCCCTCGGGACCAGGTCTGCGAGTTCAAGGCGAGACACCCTCTGTGCTGAGCCACTGCCTCCCTGACAGCCCAGTTCTGCGTGAGGAACCAGCACATGCATCTGTGTAACACTGGGACAAGGCAAGAAAGCAGGAGACGCGTTGTAATGGAGAGGCTGCTCCGATGGCTGCACGGCCGCGCACAGAAACACTCGCGGGAGCTGGCGGGGGTGGTGCCGAGCTGGGGACATCGGGGAGAGCACAGCTGGATGGGGCTGATCATGACACTTCCCTGAAGTCAGCTGCTGCAGGGGACAGGCTCGCCCTGTAAGCCAGAGCCTGCACGGACTCACAACGCTGGGGAAGCTCCCCCTCCCTCCCCCAAACGCGGGGCACCAGGACTGCGTAAAGCTGAGCCACTCCCTCCCACCCAAGCGGGCTCCATGGCACCAGTTTGTCTGAGAAGCTGAGCACTGACAAATGTAACTCTTCCCCGGTGATGGCAGCAATCTGTGAAGCCAATCACACTAAACTACTTCTACAGTTGATTGTAAACTTTGGTTTATTTTTATTTATTTTTTTTTATTATTGAGTTCTCATGGTACAGCAAGCACGTCTAGGATGAGAGGGCAGAGTTGAAGAGGAGACGAACTGTCAGTCTGTCTTTAGTCTGGCATGGTGAGCCACCTGCTCGGTCAGGCCTGCTTTGATAGAGTTTTTTACAGACTGCCTCATATGATCCTCCATCAAATTATCACTCATGGGCTTCAACACCTGTGGAATGAGAGATGTGCAAAAGAAACAAGAAAATGAGGTAACCAAGGAAAAGAAGATATAAAATCATATAAAGAGATGAGACTTGAAATCATGAAAAAATTTAGAATGATGAAGTCTGACACAAAGTGGCATGAACTGAAAGAGAAATGAATTTTGCTGCTAGAGTAATGAGGTTAAAGCAGTCACATGCTATGGACACAAGTGATACCCCTCCTACACAGCAGTATTTCACTGAATTCAAACCACTTTACAGTTCCTAGAAGATGGATGTGCAATTCCATACCCCATATGCAGCATCAGTCTGGTATGGTTACAGCATTTATGCAGACCGGCCCAGACGGTCCAGCTTATTGTCCTATATGTGTAAGTGTGAACACTTCAGATACAGAAAGAAAGTTAAAAATACTGGCTAGTTTTTCTTCTTGTTATTGTTGGATGAGAGTCGCTGTCGCGGCACTGATGTGAGAGCACGACGAACCGTTCGGCGTCTAAGGACTTCAAAGAGTTTGGAAAACACCTAAAACACGAATTCAGCTGTTAGGAAAAATGGCTCTCACAACACAGCAGAAACTCAATCAAGTTCAGAAAAACAAAAAAAAAACCTGATTGCCAGTAACTTCTCACCTTCCTGGGATTCCTCTGAAGCAAGGAGGGAAAAGAAAGGCAGAGATTCAGAAAAATCAACAGCAAGAATGAGTATTTAATCAGAGTGACTCAGACAGGACCTGCAGTGCTTTGCATATTGCTGGTGATGTGCAGCTCTAACAGCAACACTGCTGAGGGCTTTTGGAGACCACCTTCCTCCAGCCCCCAAGTGGCAAGCTCCTGCCAGCATAAGCCAAGCTCTCCCCCTCCCAGGGAAGGTAGCAGCCAAACCAAGCATTCTGTGCAGCAGCAGCTCCATTACTACTGGAGAGCCTCAATTTTAATCACTGATGAGTGGTGCTTACTCAAGATTTAGCTACCAATTTATTTACTGATGCTCATTTCCCTAGTTTTAAGAATCCATTTTTTCTGCTCCAGTGTAACTCAAAACCTGACTGGGACCCTCAGCAGGTTGCTCAGACAGGCCTAGTGTACCAGTGCCTAGGATCAGCCTTGAACACAGGAATTTTCCAGCTGTGGAAGCAAGCATCTGTGCAGAAGGCTCCAGTTAGTTATCTGCTCATGCCTCACAGGACAGACTTTAATGTCACCCCAGATAAGCTCAGTGCACCCTTTATTTCCAATAACAACAGCAGGAAAGTGATTCCCTTCTGCTGGCACGGGACAGAGCTAGTCAGAATGCTCCAAAAACCACTGGTCAGGAATTCTCTACATTTGCCTTACTGGCACAGCTGTATCAACTGAGTTCAGGCAGTAAAATCTCTATGCAGAAAGTTTTGTCCTCCATCTCTGCTGTCCTTACACTCACATCTTTTCTTTTAGGAATTTGTTGAGTATTCCTTGCAAACAGCAGTTGCAGCCACTGAAGCTGTCACAGACAGCCCAAGTCTCCCTGATGGACGAAACCTGCTGTGCACCCTCTGGTAGCAGCTGCTGAAACCCATCACTCAGCCAGTTCTCTCCAAGGACTAATCAATTCCTTGCTCTGAATAAGGAAAGAGAGTTTTGAAGAGTCCCCTTTACCGCCTAAGTAACCTTCTGCACCTTAAGCAGCACTTCTTTGATAATATCCTAAGCTTATTTAACGTTCCTTGTGTGCAGCATCTGCTCCTGAAGAGAGCAGTCACACTACTGAGCAGATTTTCCCTTTGGCAGCACTAGCATTCTCTATTAGGTCTAGAGCAGCTTTTCCCTCTCAGCACTGAACAGAAGCTGTTTGATATGTCTGCTCAAGACAGCAAGATTTTGCAATAAAGACAGATACCAACCTGTTCCCATATAGCTTCAGCGATCTGATCAATGGCTGTTCCAACTTCTCTGAATTCCCCAGAGTACTTAACGTATGCCCAAGTACAAAACGATATAAGAGCCATCCCCAGCACGAGATTACACAGGGCAGCTATGGAGTTCATGCCAAGGAACCCAGTCAGTCCTGAGATTATGTACATGGCAAACATGACTGCAAATAGAGTGGCAGGGGTACGAGCAGCATAAAAGATGTTTTTGCCATCGTTGTGCTTCACAAAGTTTGCATAGATCTCTTCGATTTCCACTTCCAGTTGCTCCTGGTAGCGCCGGCAGAACTCCTCCCCTCCCATCTTCTTGACGGAGCGGAACTGGCGGATGGCGCTCTCGCGGAAATCCTGGTGCTTCTGCTCCAGGTCCGACGGGGCAATGTAAGGCTTATCTCCCCCACACACCTGAGGGAGAAGCAGACACCATGGAATCACACCCTGAGAGAGCACCTGCCCCTCGCTGCCCCCCTCGGCTCTGGGAGCCCCAGGCCCATCCAAAGGTATTTTGGATCCTGGCAGGGCAGGAGCCTCACCCATCCAACCACACCCAGACCCACAGCACAGGACTGAACTCATGCTTCCACTGTTCTCTTCAGGCAAGCCCAGAAGGACAGGACAACAGCCACACACACACATCCCTGCTTTTTCCCAAAATGAAGTCCTCCACATCCACCAAAACTCCCTGGAAAATGCCTACCAGTCTCACCCTTCAGAACAGATTTTTCACATTGCCCAGAGCATGTTAAACACCAGGAGCTGCTGAGGGATCAAGAGGCCACCACACAAATAACTGCCACTGTTTTCTTATACTCTGTGACACTGCACCTGTTGTTCCTTACATTTCAGGTCATTAGGGGGACAGTATTTTGGTTATGCAGACTCAGCAAAGGAGGGCTTTGGTTCATGAGGACAACTCAGAAGCTGCAGCAAGAACTACCTTTACATAATTGAGTTTTAAATCCAAAGAGTTCCCACTTCTGTTCTTAAAAATAGAAGTTTCAGAGCTGTGTCAGATCAAGAACATCATATGAGACATCTGGATAAAAAACTATTCCATAATTTGTGCATATCTCTACAGTGATATAAAAATATACAGTACTGGGGAACATTACTATGGAAACAGTCTGTTTAAAAGAACATCTGTTTCTGTTTATTCCCTGCTCCAAGTTAGAAACCTTACAGCTACAGAGTCTCAACAACCATTGAAGATTCAAGTTTGGAAGGCAGACTTGGCACTTATTATAAACAACACATTTACTATTTCAAGACATTTTCCAAAATGGAAATAGAGGAGTTCCCTTAAACCAGCAGAGCATTCTCCAAACAGCCTGCTAACAAATAGAACTGGCTTGTCTGCCACTAGCACTAGGTCTTACTTTAATTTCAAAACAACTTCTTCAGCAATTAAGACCACAATTAGCCTAATTAATGGGGAGCTATGTTTGTAGCATGTTCTCACAACTACTGGTCTTTCTGGTTGAACAGTTTCACAATAAGCACAGTCCTGTTAAGCTTTACGAGACAGGTAATGGTTTTCAGAATTTCCTTTGATAAAACCTTGCCTACCACTACATCAAAGTATGAAATCCATCCAGCATTCAGCCTAGAATCATATCAGATCACTATCTTCAAGAGAAGAAGCAAGTGGGAAATTACATACACAGGTTTTTCGAAGTAATTCTGGTATTCAAAGGGGTTTCTTTAAACTTTTGAATCACTTCAATGCTTGCATTTTACAGCTAATGAATGGCCAGAATTCAGAAGCATGAGACTACAGAACTAGAATTCCACCCCTGTGCAAGCCTGACACAACAAATGTCTGCTCACCTGCTTGTGCATTTCGTGCCACAGGGTTTTGAGATGCCTGTGAAGAGCCACAGAGGGAACTAACAGGTGGGAATCCTGCACACACAACCATTCTCAGACCTCCCCAGCATCACACCCAGGCTCAGAGTGCAGAAAACACACAAGTCCTGGCCCTGAATCACCTTCCCCCACTGAAGTGCTCACACAGAGAGGTCACCATGGAAGCTGAAGGCCTGTGTTTGCATGTAAGTGTTTAGGAAAGGTTGTGCCATCATACCTGCTCCATGCCTTTGCTGTACAAGTCTTTTGCTCCTGCCACAGCAGCAAGATTGTTCGCCTCAGCTGTTGCCTAGAAAACATGGAGCATCCTGTGTCATTCACAGCATTCCCAGGTTTTACACAGCACTGCACTCCAAACATACCCCCAAAACCTCCAGAACTCCTGATGGCCAGGAAAAGGCCACACAAAAATAAGAGAAGTTTAGCAACAGACATTAAAACATATTGCTGCCTTTCTTCAGCTTTCTCCTACAGGCTTTTCATCATGAGCAATCTCCTCTGAATGCTCTACTGTTAATAAATACATAAGGGTCACTAAACTATTATATTTTAATCCTGGTACTGGATTACTTCCAGTACCCAAGAGGAAAGAAGGAATCTGGGATTATTTCTACATTACAGATGTACAGTTTTGGTGTAAATGGTAATTGTCAAGTTTGTTAAGAATTTAAGTCTTATTTTCTACCTGTATCATGTCAGGGACAATTATTGTAGTTAAAGCTGCAAGATGTCCTTTTCTGGATATCTCCCAGTCAAACAGCAAGTTACAGGAAAACAATGTTTAGACAGTAAAGCAGCTAAAAAACCCAACCAACCAGACAGACCCCAGCTCTATTTGGTTGATTTAATTTCATTTGGTTGATGAAACTGAGGGAAAAGTACCCAACCATCACAGTTCAGGTGGCTTTCAAAGCACACAGATCATTCCAGAACTACAGCTGCGGGGGAGAGACTCAGGCCCACAGCAGTCATGGTTCTTCAGTTGAAAAGAGCTTATAAAGTACACATCATCTAATCAGATTATGTGAAAGAAAATAAAATACCTGCAGCATAGATTTTGGATGAGGTAGCTCCTCTCCTTGATAGATTTTAATGTAAGCCTAAATGGGAGGGGGAAAAAAGAGTTTATTTTTCTAAACATTTATGTTTGAGGAAAATAAGAAATGAGGGATGATACAAAGAGCACAGATTATTTCTCTGTAATAGTGCTGAATACTAAATTATGCAATTTTCTTCACAGAAGTCTGGCAATTTTCCCCCCTCACTTTCTTATGCCTGAGACTGGGGCCCAGCAGGGCAGCAGAGCATCCTGAGGAGACACCACCACTGTCCCAAGATGTCACAGGTTTTGACAGCAGGTTTCTACTCCCTCAAATACATAAGGTCTTTGCTAGACAGGGAATCTTCACCCATAACAAAAGAGTGGAGATGACTATCCCAGCCTTTCTGGCAAGAGGTTGGCTCAAATTTACCCCTGTGCTGGGAGAACCAATATTTACATTTCCCCACATGCCTTGATCTACTGAAGCGTAGGAGGAAAAAAAAAAACAGATCAAGGCACTTTGTACAGACAGAGCTGAGCAGACAAAACACTTCCAGAAGCTAAGCAGGCAGCCTATCCCACTGTGCCCCACCCCACTTATCCTCAGGGGTCCTTTCTTTCCCCAGGGTTTCAGGGGGTTGGAAGAGAACACACACTTCATTTCTTGTCCAGCCCCCACAAGCTGGCCCCTGGCACAGCTCCTGGGGACAGGGAAGTGGGGCACAGCAGGCAGCAGCAGCCATTCCAGGGCCTTGGACAAGCTGTGCAAGTTACACCAGCAAGGCCACTCTCACTCAGCCCCTTGAGGGGGGTCTGTCCTCACTCTCTTCTCACCACTGCTGCCTTCCCTCCCTGCCCTGGCTGCAAGCCTCAGGCCTGAGGATTTCCTGCTCCAAGGGAGGAGAGAACAAGGTTATCAGGGTCCCCATGTACTCAATGCTCTAGGTTGCAGAACAACCTACAAAAACATATAGAATTATACAGGACTCTGTTCCCTTGACACCCTCCTGGCTTCTGTAGCTATTTCCTCCAAGTAAAAGCCCTACAGTTCCCAACTCAGGCCTCACAATCTCAGCTTCAGATGCACAGTCCCAAGGGAGCAGTCCTCTTTAGTTACATAAGCATGGCATTTCTGCAGCACCCCACAGCACTGCTCCCCAGATGGATACCGGATGCAAATCAGCTTTCCAGTAGAGGTTTTACACTTGGGTTTTTAGGAGCAGTCCTTTCTAAACTGCTTCTGAACATGCCCTCCCTGCACTGTACCTGAGTGGGTCCTACTAGAGAAAAACTGGAGCAAAAAGCAGAGTGCAAGCATGTAAACAGCAAAAAACTCTGCTTTTTGCTCCATGTAAACTGGAGCAAAAAGCAGAGTGCAAGCATGAACCTCCATGCTGCCGTGCTGATTTTACACTTGCCAAAACAGCCATCACTTCTGCATCCCATACCATGTCTTTCCTTCAAAAAGTTACTTTGTTTTACAAAGTGAAGTTAAATGAGCTCTGGTCTCAAACTCCTTCCTTGCATAGCTTGTTTCATAACATCAGCCCAACTTTTCTACCCCCAAAGTAGCAATTCCTGTCTTTAGGAGACAGTGGCATCATTCCCACCAAGGCAACTGTCTAAGTCGTTCCAATTCCAAAGGAAAAAAAAAAAATAAGGCTACACACACCAGACCAATCCCTGGTGATGCAGAGATTATGTTATCACATTTCTGCTGGTGTCACCATGATACCAAAAAAGTTCAAGACTAACAGCTGTGAGTATCCTGCATAAATATTACAGAGCACAGTGGTGCTACACATGCAAGTGTTTAGAAAGCACCTTCCTTGCATATTAAAAATCCAGAAAGGGAGTATCTGAAATTTTCATTGCATACCTAGCAGTTTAAGAGCTCTTTTTCCATCTGTAAAAACTACATGAGACCTATTTTAATTCAAAATAACCAAAACAAAAAAAAACCCAACTGGGATTTCAAAGTAGGAAAAAAAAATACCTAATAAAGCTTGAGCTATTTCAGCCTACTCACAGAGAGAAAAATAAAAGCCACCAACCCACAAATTTGGCTAACAGTAGCTTGCAAAGAGCTGTACTGTTAGGAAGTAGTGTGCCAGTTCTGGAAAGTCAGAGTAATGAAATGAAAATAAAAGTGAGCTGATCAGTGAGTGTCAGCCTAGATATCTTATCTTCTCTGGGAACAACATGGCCTAAAATTAGAATACTGACTTTTAAGCTATTAACAGAAATAATTAGTATGAGTTTGCTTACCTTGAAGTATTCTACAAGATCTCTACAGGTCACCTTGGATCCACTAATCTCTTTTTCTACCAAGTTTTCAGGGGCAAGCAGTAACGGTATCAAATTCCGCAGTTCATTCTTAAAATCCTCATCTATATCTAGTAAAATTCAATCAATTTCAAGAAAAAGGTGGTTAGTTTTCAATCTTGTATATCCTAAAGGAACACTGATAGCCCACAATCCTTCTAAATCTACAACACCACAACTCTGAACTGCATTTTTAAGGTATTTAAAGGCTTACATACATAATATAGCTTCAGTAAATTCCAACTACTCCTAATGTACCAATCTTAACTGGGAGAACAAGGTGTCACTGTCCTTTCAATATTTTAAGTGCATTTCCCCAATTACACCAATGCACAATGACCTCACAGGTGTGTGCCCTCAGCACAGCAGGGGCTGGCACCCCACCACTGTAACTCACTGTTACAGCTTTTGCCATCCTGATGCATTCCCTCCGTTGGGGAACACACACCCCTTGGAGGAATCCTGACTGCCTCTCATTCTGCAGCAGCAGAACCCTGTGGCTTTTATTTCAGCCATTTCAGAGCTGACCTGTGGTTCAGCAAGTTCTTAGAGAAAAGCCTTTCCAGAAAGTAAAGTCTTTAATCTTGGGAATTCTGCCCTCTGGAGCCCTTAGTTATCTTTGGAATCTCCATTTAATGACCTTTAAGCATGTCTCAAGTTATCAGATTACAATGAACAGCTAGACACAAAGATATCCATTCCCTCTCCCTGCTTAATTCCTCTAGTTTTAACCACTAAAAAGAGCACACAATGCACATTTCTAAATTCTGCAGGTTCACCTTTTAGCCTTAAATTTTCCAGTCAGGCATTTCAATAGCTAACCATTACAGTGCTTAACTTTCATCATGTGAGAAAACAAACTCAGTGATCTGAATCAAGAAACACAAAATGAAAAGCTTCCTACCATTCAATCTCCCATCAAAATTTGGATTTGTTGCAACTTTAAGACCAGGGTGGGGCAACAGGAAACACCCAAGATTACTGAAACAGGAGTGAATATGCTTCCTTACATTCTGTAGCTCTTCATGTTGGTTTTGCTTTACCTGAAGGAAAAAAGAGGCATTAAGAACTGCTACCAGTTTTACAGCACTGCAGTTAAGATCAACCATCTTCTTAAAAGCAGTAAGAGCACAAAAGTGTGTTCAAGCTTTTATTTCTGAACCTAATAATGGCAACTTTGCCTATAAGTAGAAATACCACAAATGTATTTTATTAGCACAAGGAGCCAGCTCATGATGCATCATTGTCTTGACAGCAAAGTGTCACTTAGAAGATCAGAACAGGACTACTGAAGATAACTTACCTGCAATCTTTTCTCTAGGAACTTTTTTCCTCCTTCCAAGCCATATGCATGTTCATAAGGATAACTCCAATCTCTAATTAAGAACATTAATGTCTGCAACAGGAAGAACAACAGCAGTGAATGGTTTGCATCATTCCTAAGGTTGAATATTCTATCACATGTGTGATTATTTTAAGTATTTGGCTGCTCTAAAATTAAATGTATTATAGATTACAAGCAAGGATACTATGTAAGTTTTTTGGTATATTTGGTTGCTCTAAATGTAGCAGCTCTGTGGTGCAAGTGTTCGCTTGCTTAAAAAACCAACTAAACAGAACACCCACCACCAAACAGGACCTTTTCTCAGAACCATCTACCACCAGCAAGGACTAACCATATCTCAGAGTAATAAAAAAGAAGGCAGCACAAAATTTTTCTCCTTAACACCTGTATATCACTTGACATTTTGATTCCTCTTATGCCTTATAACTCAAGAACAAAGATATACTTGCTCAAAATGTGATCCTCTTCAGCATTTTTCTATTGGGTTTTTGCAAAGCCATGTGGCAATAGTGAAGGAAAATTAGTCTTGCAAAGAACTGGTTACCTTCAGCCCAACTAATTTATCTGCAGAAATTATCCTGAGCTCATTTTCTACACATTAAACTGCTTAAATCCATCTAACACATAGTTACCTGAAACGGCTTTTGGTAGATTTCTTCCATAGCTAGTCTTCCATATTCTGTAAACAACTGAGAGAAAGAACAGTGTAAGGATGTGCCATATAGAAAACACATTTTTCTGCTGTGAAATATTCTATTACATCACTAAAAAGTAATAAAGCATTCAATCTTATATCTTATGATAGGTTTCAATCTTACATCTTACTACAGGTTGAGAATGGCAAACAAACCTCAATAAGGAGTATACCAACCCTCAATAAGATTCAGGTAGGAGACATGATTCCCACAGGCTTCACAGTGCCATTCCTGAACTGTCAACACACTGCAGTTTTAAGTGGGTGGCTTGTAGGCTATTCTCAGAGAAAAGCTGGCTGCATTTCTCACCAAGTCAGCTTCCAACACTTGCTTCCTAGGCTAAGGAGGTGAGCCTGACTAACATTTGCCCCTTACTTCCCACAAAAGGTTTATTCCTGGAAATCCCAGGGAACTTGGCTCTAGCCAGTATATCAGACATTTAAATACAAGCCAAGTTCAGCAGCTTCTCAGATCTCTGCTTCAGCTCGTGACCTTAACTAATTATTGTTCCTTCCCTCCAGTAAAAAGGCAAGTATCAGCTGTCTTCTTCTGAGTGCTTCCACCATCTTTAACACCAGCAGCATTCCTTGCTGGCCTGAGCAGGCCAAACCACCCACAAGACCAGGAATTAGGGACTGTGCTGGCTGCTTCAGCACAGGTCAATACTGGCAGGGCTTGATCGATGCCAGCCTCCTTACAGATACTGCAGGCTGAGACAATGGAAGCACACCAGAACTCTCCAGTGCCAGGCAATCATTATTCTGCATTAAACTAACTCCTGGAGGGCCTCAGGCAAATTATGGCTCAAAGGGCAGTTCTGGTGTTGATCACAAGAGCACCTGGGAACTTACAAGACTAATTTAACACAGCTGAATTTCCAAGCCCTTGTCACCCTGAGCAAAAGCAGTTGTGAAGTGGCCAAGCATCCACAAGAGTCTGGCTTCTTTGACCCGAACTCTTTACCTCATTCACTTCCCTGCTAAAGGAAGGGAATGAGGTAAATGAGCAGTCTCTGACTGCTTTTTTCAGTCTCTCCCTGCAAAAGGCAGTCAGAGACTAACAGTATTTTACAATTACATAAATTCCTGTTGAAACAGAAATTCAGAATTTCCTTCCCTTAGATCATGATTGCCTGCTGCAACTCTAAATGCATGGGTGTCCCCTACCCAGTGCTTGTTTTTATCATCCTGCCCTTCCTTCCTTCAAATCTCACCCTCCAGGAGAACAGAGATACATTGTTTTATTCAGATTACACCGAGTCTCTTAAAGGACCAAAGCCTCAAGGGAAGCCTGGCTTTCAAATAATGATCTACAGATTTTTTTTTGTTTTGTTTTCACAGCTCAGTTGGGTTTTTTGGGGGGTGTGGGGGGTATGGGCCCAGTGATACAACCCTGCTAATTGAGAACACCTGCATAAGACTACTTTTAGTTAGTGCTCTTTCACTTCCAGCATTGGCAGCCACTCTGCTGCAGCACTGAAGACACACAGAACAGTTTTAAGCTGTGACAAGGTCATGGCCTTGGCATTTGGTAACACACAAGCTACTCTCTAAAGCTACAGGTTTTAAGTTAAGGAGATAATGTTCTTGCACCATTCACATGAAGCCATAATTCAGTGGCCTTTGACCATGACATGATGTTGCATTAGAGGATAAAAACCCCATGGTGAAGAGAAGACATTCTCCTGCTTTTATTTCTAAGCAGAATAAAACTCTGCAGAAGTTTTTCTCAGCTGAAAAAACAGAGATGGCTTCTGGGCAGAAGACTCTTTCTGGCCTGACCCAAACTCCAACACTTCCTTACAAACTGGTTATGAAACAACATCCATTTTCCTATTTTAGGAAAAACATGTAGCACTGGAATTTCACCATTAAGGATTTCCATAAATCATTTTCCTTTCTCATTTTCTCAGGAATTTCAGAACTTGCAATACAGAGAACAGACATTAAAAGAATCAGCCAGATTAGAAGCTCATACTATTTTACCTCTACATTGGCACAGTAGCATCATGGAGTTGATGCAAACACAGTTTTTACAGATTAGACCAGTTTTAGTATCAGGTCAAATTCAGTGTTTTACACGAAGCAACAAACAGCTCCCAAGTCAGTTACATGAACAGTAACTTCTAGAACATTGTCAAGACTATCAGTTTGGAAGCAGATTAACATAAATTCACCATATTCCTACCTGCAAGTGCTGAAGGTCATCTTCCTGAATATTCTGAGACAAGTTGTATACCTGCAAGAGACAGTCAGAGAATTACAGTGTCACATGAAACCACTGTCTTACATTCATATAGTCTCTTTCTCACATTGAGTATTTTTGCTCCCTCCAGCAAAAGTCTAACTACCCAAAAGTCAGCAAGTAGAAAGGTGTCACAGAACACATCTCAAACAAAAGTTACCTCCTTATTCAAAAATTATTCACCAGAGCCAACTCCATGGGACAGCTCTACATAGTCCTGCTCCTTTTAGGTTGTGGCATGTCTGAAGAAAGTCACTTGTCACCCCCCAAAAGTGCTCACTTTTGGCACTTCTAAGGCACAAACTTAGAAGTAGTTTTGAGTATAGCACAATTCTCAGGAGTTTAATTGACACTTGAACATAAGCAGCAATTTAAAGTTTGGCTGATCACAGCATACTGTCACCCTAAACTGTATCTACAGCCTTAAAAAAGATTCTGTAACACATCTGTAAAGAAGCAGTTGCTACTTTGACATCTTGGGGGGGAAGGGGATTTCCCAGTTCTGTCAGCAATTTAACGCAGCCTGGCCTTGCATAACCTTGATTCCACACAGTAACTTGGGTAGTTTATGTACCACACTGAGAATAAGTATGGAATTTTAAATCAGAGATGGAGGAAGATATGCAGGTGAACTTTCCAAGTGTGGCTCAGGATATATTCTTGGCATGTTCAGGATAGAGGGTTCTGCCATTATTTGCCAGCAGGGATATTCTCACCTGGACAGAGCTCGTCATGGTGCTCAGGGCAAAAACTGTTGCACAGTCTTTGATAGTGGATTGGCTATCAAAGGCACCTTGGGTATCCATGAGTAGTACAGCAACCTGCAGAGTTTGAAAGAAGAGCAGCAGTTAACCAGATCATGGACACTTCCACACTCCTGGCCACTGGGATCAGGTCTGTTTCAAGTCCCTGCCCCTGTGCCTGCTGAAGAAACCTCAGCCAGCTCCCTGCACATGACTACACACACCCACAGCTGAGTGAGCAGCAGCCAGAGGGCCCTGCCATCAGCCTCTGGCCTTGCCTGGCTACCTTCTCCCAGAGAAACAGCCCTCCCTGGCCCAGTGGGGGTGCCATGCAGACCAACTGACAGCTCTCCTTCACTGGAAGAACACCAGCCTCAGCTGCAGATCTCACATAGTTTATTAGAGCTAAGAGTAAGATGCTACTTATAAATACACATATATATATTAAGATAATTATTTTCAGCAGAAAACAAGATAATTGATACTGTCTGCTGGAACAACAAGAAAGGAAGTGATATTAATGAAAAAAGTTTATCAGTCGAACTCCCATCTTTGAGATGTGCTACACTTCCCTTCTCCTTCCCATTGAGAAGCAAGAACAAGTGAGCGATTTGTTCCCAAAGCATAAGCAGATTCACACATAACTGGTTTTTAACCAGAGAAATGTTTGGTTAGCTGTGAAATTTGTTAAACACCACTAAGCCACTATTTTTAAAATCCATGTCCCACAGATTGGGCATCAGATGTTTCCTTTGCAAATGGAAAGGGTATGAAATTTAAATAACCTAAAACCAATGGATCAGAACACAAATAGTTCAAGATCATCACCACTACTGTGGAGTAAATATTTATTAATGACATTAACACTTTGTTTCAGCATAAACACCTCCAAGTACACTTTGCAGTCAAACTGACTTGAGTTAAAAAAGAATCAAGTTAGTGCTTTTTTCCTCACTGTTAGACTTAGTCCTTTTTTATAGACTGCTTGCTAAAATTATATGGAAGGACCAGCTTCCAGACCCTGAAGTACTTACAGCCATGCACTACACTTTACTAGAACACAGCTAGAACATATTCTCACCCTTCAAAGAACAGCGTGTGTTACAGAGCTTTTCCCCCCAGCATTTGCCTGTAGATGGTATTTATAGCCATTACAGATTTACAACATCCCCAGGATAACCCACCCAGCAGCCTGGACAGGGCAGATTTTGCCAAAACAAAGTACTCAGAATGAGACTATTGTTGAAGTTTTCTGCTGGGTTGTAAGAATCAATCTCCAGCTTTACACTGATAACAGTTTCCAGATATGTTACACAGCTGCTCAGTGCAAAGGAAAGCAACCAATGTCCAAACAGCAGCCATGAAATCCATGACATTAAAAGTATACACAGAGGCAAAAATCCTATTTAAAAGTTTTAGAATTATAAAAACAGTTTAGGCTGAAAGGGACCTCTAAAAATAATCTTATTCCAATCTCTCTGCCAAAGGCAGGGACACCTTCCACTAGACCAGCTTGCTTGGAGCCCCACTGCACCTGACCAGGAACACCTCCCACATGGGGCATCCACAGCCCCTCTGGTTTATTAAAAAAAACCCAAAAAACATCAAACCAACCACTACACAACCAAACCAGGAAGCCTACAACTCCTGCAAAGGAGACCTTGAGTAAATCAAGGTAAGTTAAGCACTCACCTTTGTTCCATTAGGTTTTTCAATTACAAACACTTCACTCCAAATCTGAATGCCAGTGGTTTCCCGTTCACATCCACCTCTCCATGTAAATCCGGTCAATGGCTCCGTGTTTCCACCTATCCAACAAGGAGAAGTCTACAAAACAAAAAGAAAACATATGTAAAACCAAGGAGGAGATTTCTATTTTTTTTAACATGCTATGTTTTAGCAGACTTCCACACTGTTATTTCATTTTCCTCAGAGCCAGCCGACAACACTACACAAAATATTACAACAGTGCTACTCTGCTGTGTTTCAAGATCATCCACAAAGCAACCCCATGTATTAGAGTGGCTGTACAACTTTTTAGTCACTGAAACATAAGTGCAAATTTTTTGAGTCTCCAGCACTCAGAGATATTGAGAACAGCACAGTTTTGTCCACCAGTTCCACTCTCACAGCTGAGAAAACTCTGCTCAAACACAACAGCAGATTGTCGCAGACATCTTTTCACTAAAAATCTTTTCTTTAGGATTTCTCCTTCTGAGAAGCTAAGAAGCCTCAGAGACAGAATGTAAGCAATGGTTATCTGCTGCTGTGGAATGCAACAGGTCCACCTGTGATTGGCCCATCTCAGATGTTTATAATTAATGGCCAATCAAGGACCGAGCTATCTCGGACAGAGTCCGAGAGAGCTGCCTTTGTTATAATTTTTTTCTTTTCTATTCTTAGCTTAGTTAGCATCTAAAGAAACCTGTCTTTCCATTTCTTTTTAGTACAGTGATAATGTAATATATATATATATATATATATATATATATATATATATATATATATATATAAAATAAAATAAAATAATAAATCAAGCCTTCTAATCATAAAGTCAACATTCTCGTCTCTTCCCTCATCCAAGAACCCTTGTGAACACTGTCACAGCAGATATTTCAACTCAGGAACAGCTAAACTTCAGCAAGATTCAAAAAAACTGATCTTAACCTAATCCTCTCCCTTCCCCCTCACTAACAGCTGGCCAAGCATTTGAGTCCCTGCACTAACAGAAGCCAGCACCAGACTCCCAGTGCCATCTTGCAGAAGCCACAGAGAATAGACAACAACCAAAAGATTCACAGTCTATACTTGCCAGTTACAGAGAAAAGGTCAGTTTAAGAGTTTGATAGATGCCAAACAACCCACCTATATTGGAGCTGAGAAGCTATCTGAGAGGTGAGTACAGTTGGCAGCTAACATTCCTGGCTGATGGAATTGTAATGAGGTCTTCAAGGACAGACAAGACAGAGCAGCAGCTCACCCACAAGAATTCAGCCATTATATGAGCATACCTAACCCAGAAATGCAGCTCATGCACTGGCAAGTAAGGAGGATGAACAGGCACCCCAAGGAAGTTTCACTTTGATAGGTTTTTCTGTAGCCCCCTCATCAGTTAAACTGTTGTCTGCCTGCCACTTCTTTCATGGAGGATTTCAGTGTATACAAAGCTTTCTTTCATAGGCTAGAACACAGCAAGCTGGCATAAGAGACATTTAATGAATTGCCTTGAACTGCCCAGAGTAGATTACCAGCCAGGAAAGAGTCCACTGAGAAGGTCAAAGTGGAGATTTCTCAATTCACTTCTGGGCTCTACCTTGCTGACTCCACACTGGCAGTTTTCAGATAACAGCTCAAGACATTTCTTCACATTTCAGAACACAGCATGAGTACCCAGGGACTGTACAGAATAAAAATACTTGAAACAACTAAGTGAAACTGCTTATTTCTAAAGGGGGATGGGAAAAAACCTTCACATTTTTCTCATGTCTAGCAGCATGCAGGCAATCCAGTTCTGCACCAGCATTCTTCCAAATGCTAACAGTGCACCACTCAACTCTGCTACTTAGATCAAACAAGGGTGAGATAAGCAGATGAAAATTCAGAAAATGAACACAGGTATGCAAGTAAAGACTTGTACAGATCTGTACAGTTGTTTGGGTTTGGCTGTTTGGGGTTTTTTTCTTTTGTTTATTTTGACAGGCACACACACCTCTACCAGAGACACTAAGCAAAACCTGAACAGCTTTTCCCTGTAGTTTTTCTATCCCAGAAGATGCTTATGCTTCCACAGACCACTCTAAAAATGAAAGCTCCAAGCCTGTTTTGTGCTGCAGCACACTCCAGGATACAGTTTGACAATCTGTATCCTATCTCATGTACCTGTCAATGGGCTGCAGCTTTCCGCTTTTCAAAAATAATCTGTTATTCAGAATGTTCCATTTTTCTTTTCTACAAGAATACTTTAGCCCATTTTGGTCTAGACATTATTCTTATTTGTATTCCTCCTATTTGTAACAAATCAGATCAAAACTACACAGTTTGACAAGTCCCTCAATGACCACTAGATATGACCTCATTTGATTTCACAAGTGATTCCTATCACAGGAGACTTTGGTGTTTTAACAGGCTCAGCTTCACCTGAAGCTGCTTCATCTTATGGATGATGCACTTAAGCCTGCTTCTGACTGACCTCTGCATCACTTTGAAGCACTCCTCTCTTGTTACCTGCATCTTCTTTAGCTAAACCTCAGTATTTTAAGTATCCATCCATCAAGCTGGCTTGAAAGATATTCAGGAGATGGAAGGAGGGAAAAAAGGCTCCTACCTGAAATCAAGCTAGAAGCTGCTCTACAATTTTACCTCAGTCCCCCTAAAGGGTAATTTCTCGAACTTTACTCCACACTAAGGAAAAGCCCAATGCAGCTTTATTTGCCTAGTGCATTAATACACAGTACACTTTGAGGATTAATTCAAAATAAGAAGGTGACACTCCTATAAGAAAAATAAACTTTTACATCTAAACTTACAAGTGTTGCTGCACTCAACTCTTACTAAAGCTTAAGACCACAGGATCCTTGCAGCAGCTTGCTGAGTACACAAGTGCTGCTGTTCCATTTCAAAAGAGCAATCACAGCACAAAGGATCAGTGCTTGAAATGACATGTCCACCTCTCTGAAGGCAGTGATCAACCTCTGCCATGCCAAAATCCTACCTGTGACTTCAGCTGGCACCAGTGAGATTTTTACAATGGCAACTTCCCACATGACCTCTGGCATTCAGTTTAAGACAAGAAAATGAAACTCTGAAGGTTTTATTGGCAAGTTTTTCATTACGAATGTTAATGTCCACATAAAAGGACAGCCCAAAATTGCTTGATTGGCACATGAACTGAATGCAATCGCTTTAGTATTCTGTGTAATATCTAGTTCACAGAAAATACAGACTTGCAATTGAGCCTGACTAAAGATGGAGGGCTCAGAGTAAGTACTGTACCAAGATCTCTCCTCCTGTACTAAATTTGGATAAGCAGAGGATATCATTTGACTTCATACAACTCAAGAGTGCTCCAAAGAGGAGGCGTTGCATTTATCCTCCATCACCCCCAGTTCCCATCAATCAATTTGCAGCAGTTCTGATGCTTGACAAACTCCTTCCCTAAGCCAATTTACGTCACTGAGCTGGCAGAAAAACAATTCAGCAAAGCGCAATGTCTTCTGATGCATCAGTGAGTTGGATCAGCTCAACTAAGGGTCTGCAAGCCATACATCTTCAGAATGGAAATACCTGGCCAGAAGCAGCACATGGAGAGCAAGACTTCTCTGCTCTTGGTAAGAAACAATTGTTAGAGTAGATGGGCAAGCTTGCTTTCACCTTCAGTTCAAGAGAAACAAATGCTATTTTGAAGGACATTTATAGAAAACTGAGAAAAGTTTTCTATAAGTGCACAATAAAGGAAACAGAGAGGCCTGATACACAAGGCTGAAACAGCATTTCAATCGGTTTTGCTATATGAACGTTTGTTTTATTTCACAATCTGAAAATTAAGAGTATTTGTTTAAAGCCCAGCCCTTCTGTTTTCAAAAGGACACTCACACTACCTCTGCCCAGCCCAGCACCTTGCTCAGGTCATTGGATGCAGGAGTTTGCATTTTTCTTTGTTTGCAGGGAGTGGTGGGGGTTTTATTGTTTGGTTAATTTTGAACACCATCCATAATAAATGAAACCTTCTTCCTCCCTAGGTTAAAAGAGTCTCAAGAAGTTAGAAGTACCAGCTTGCTACTCTGGATTCCTCCTACCCTGAGACCCTATCCTCAGGGTCCTTCTTCCACAGCTCTTGCAAAATAAGGGAGAGGAACTGGGATTGAGAGAAGGAAATCTTCATTTGCTGACTATCAGCAGCTTTTCTGCTGCACTCTCATACTTCTTGTAACTGCAGAGTTCATCTTCATTTCCCCTCAACCCAGCTAGCACAAATTAGCTCCAAAGAACAGTGAACTTTAAAAAAGGAATCAGTTCTGAGTTTCTAAGAACTTCAAAAAGCAACAAAACACTGACCTGTCAATATTCATAAAGCAGATTAAAAGAAACACCCCACAAACTGTAACAGGCAGATGTGTATGGTTCACAGAACACCCTACGCCACCTTCTCCATGTAAGCCAAGGGCTCAAAACAAGACAACGCTAGCCAAAAGCTACAAACTAAAAGAAAAAATTAAATTTTGGATCAGGCTTTAATCAATCAATAACTTAAAAGGATTTTAAGTTCCTGTACTGCATTCAGAAATGCATTCTAAGCAGCAAAAAGGAAACTCTCTCCTTTTTGTCATACATTATATTTAAGCAGATTTAGCTATCTGGTAAGACTTATTTTTGCAACAGTGGGCAAGTGAGTGCTATAATATGACTTCAGGAGATAAAGTCACAGCAAGGCTCCTCCAAGTCACCACCTGGAAAAGCCCTTCCCTATTCAAGTTCTTCTTGTGTCCACTTACACTGGGACACCAATAAATTCCCTTGATAACTGCAAGATAGGGTACATTGAAAAGCTGTCACTTAAATACCCTTCCTTCAAGTGTAGAAGCAGAGTAGCTGACTTCTCCTCCCCCAATATATCAGAAAATTTTTATTTGCTATATTTATGCTCAATTTAACAAACACAAAGAGAAATTACTAAAATACCAAAGTACTTTTCTCCTGCAGGAAAAATTCAAACTACTCACCCTGTTATACATGTATCTAAGCATGAAGTCCAGCAAAAAAGATTTTCCTTTGCGGAAAGCTCCTGCTACAGACACAACTACTATGTTAAGATCTTTAATATGTTCCTGAAGCAAGATTTTTTCCAAAGCTGATTCATCTAATTCAAAGTTATGGTCATCTTCATGAGCAAGGACAATCTGTATGGGGCGCGGCTTATCCAGTTCCACCTCGTCATCTGAGTCCGGCAGGGCATCCGAGTCCGGCAGGGCATCGTCCTCCTCTTCTTCATAAAGCTTACCTGCAAATTGACAGGTGACAACACTTTAGTGAGGCACAGCTTAGGGAACAACACTTTTTCTTTTATTGTGAAGCATTGAGCTGGGCTTACATCTCCAGCAGCAAGGGTGATGTTCTTGGGAATGCCAAGAGGTCAACAGAAGCTCCCTGTCCATTTTCATCAGCTTTGTGTCTAGCCTGTATTTCAGATCTTCTCTCTTTCAGATATTCTTTATGCATTAAGGAATCACAAAAACCTGATTTTCAGCTTCAAAACCCCTTTTAAAGGCATCTTAAGTCAAGGGCCTTTTATCTGGGTAAAAAAAGAATCATTTCAAAGAAGCTTGAGAGAGGACTAAAAAAGGGCATTTTTATATCACCACCTTCTTGTTGTAAGGGTGTCAGGGGAAATGAATGTTTTGTGTCAACAGGTTTGCTTGCCAACAGGTACAAGCAAGACCATGGATCTAGAATGGAAGCCCTGGATAACAAACACCAGATGAATAAACTCCTCTCTAATTCCAACACTGTTTCAAGTCTCAATACAGCACAGACTTCAGAATACCTATTCCCTATTTGCAAGACAATAAACTACTGAACATGTGCATGCCCTAACACTTCTGGGATAAGAAAACAAACAAACAAAAAAAAAAACCATTGAAGCAGTTTCTGGCTTCATATTCTTCCCATAATGCACTATTAAACAAGATTTAGCAACAGTAAGTATCAAGTCTTTAAAAACAGTTAAGAGACTACTTTATACACAATTTAACAATTAATACCCTTTCAGGATAAAACAGTAGCTGAAAAAAGTATAACTCAGATTAAAGCTACTAATGAATGTAAGGTAACATAGCCCTTCAGACACACACTATATCAGTGCAAATATCCTATATTCCTGACTTCTAGAATTCAGGAGTTAATTGGATTGGAGGCCTAAAAGAAAACCAAACTACCCTATCCAAGGTGAAGTCTCCTCTCTTGTTCAGGCACCACAACACTGAAGTTTGTCCCACAGCACAAATCAACTCCACCATTCCTGACAAGCATCTGGAAAGCTTCTTTGTGCTTACTGAATTGCCTCCCACTCCCAATTTAAATTCTGCCATGTTCTATTGGAAGCCCATGTGCAAAAACCTGACCAAGGCACCTTCCTACCAGTTACTTATCTGGGATTATCACATATGATTTTTGGTACACTGTCCTTCTAGTCATGTTTCCATTTCCCAGCCAAGGCAGCAGCAGCCACCCCCAATCCCTTGATGTGTTGCTCACAGAGAGGTTTCCTGTGGCAGCAGCCCACAAGAACACAAGAGTGTTCTCCTGCAGGATGCATCCATGAGGCACCATGGAACACACAGCTTCATTCATTCATGGCAGAGAACCTGCCAATGCTCACAGCACCTGCCAAGTCATTCCTGTCAGACTTTGCATGTGAGATACCATTCTCAGCAAAAGACTTATGAGCAGGGCTCCAGTTTTGTGGATGTAATGAGACACTGCAGTTATCACCATAAATCTGAAAAACTGCTAACACAGTGACCCTGAAGTTTCTCCAGCAATTTTCTCCTTACCTAGCTCTGACAACACCTCATTTAATTGCAAAATGACAGAGAATGTTTCCACTTCCAAACATCCAATCTTGTTCTGTCCCAAAGCCCAACGGTATTAAATCTTGAAAAAAATAGGTTTGAACATACTAAGCTTGCATGGTGCTTGGTTTGAACAGGAAGTACACTTGAGTGCCTAAATCCTAAGCAGCTAGAACTAAACTGCAACATTATCCAAGTGGGTGCGCAAAACAGTCCCCAGCATCACCCTAGCTCAAAGTCATTAATACAGCAGGCCAAAAAATTGATTATACTAGCAGGCCTGACAACTGGAAGAAGTAACTTTTAAAAGAAAATCCATCAACAGGACACCAAACTATACAAACTACACTGACACTGACTGGTCAGCACTTCAGAGGAAAGTCTCTCTCTTTTGGCCTCAAGGTTTTGTATTCCCAGATATTAAACAAACCCTATCCTCTTTTTTGAAAGAGTTTCTATACAGGCGTTGCCTCATATAGGCAAAGGATAGGATCCTTTGGAGGCCAGAGAACTTGAGAGGATAGCCCAGGAATGGAAGAACAAAGATTTTGACAATCAGAAAGAAAGCTTCCAGCATCACAGCCTACAAACATAAAGGGAATATTCTATTGATAAAAGTATTGAAGTCAGATAGTTCCAAGAAGAGGTGCCTGTGTTTTAGCAAACACATTCACACAATGTTTCACAGCCTCTGCTTCAAGGTATGTTCCTGGTAGTGCGACTTGGTTACTTGGAACAGCCTCCTATTCTTTTATTTAAATACACACTTCACTTAAATACACAGCTGCAGTAAGGGTTTGGGTCTGTAAACTGGGGCAGACTGAAAAATGGTTTGAAGCCACACCTGCAGCTTCTCTTCATTCACTTGGAGCCTGACATTAAACATCCTGTCCTACCTGGAAGTCATCAAAACTTGTCAGACCCCAAAGACCTCAAGCTGTAGCAGCATCCTTGTGCCAGCGCAGAGCACAGCCGCACAAAACCTCTTCAGGCCAAGGAGATTTCAGAACAAACAAGTGGAATGGACCTTTATCAATAGTTATTTATAAACAAGCAAATTCTCCCTATCACAAGGAGATAGTACTATCAAGAGCTTACACAAAATATGCCCATTAAAAGCTCCCATCTTGTTAACAGCATTCTGCACCACTGAAGCTCATTAGCTCAGACGGAACAGGAAAGAAGATTCATCCTAGACTCAACTCCTATTAGATTTCACTTATCAGCAGAAATTGGGAGTCAAGTCCAGAGCACCAACATGGGTTTGTTAGGTTGGTTTGGGTCAAGTTGGATTGTTGGCTTTTTTTTTCCCCTTTGACTAACCAGCTTAATATATCTACAAGTTCCCAACCTACCTACAGAAAAGACCATCATGGCCATCAGTCAAGCACTTTAGAGGGTGGAGACCTACAGTGCTGACAGCTGTGAAAGCAACTTGATCCATCCAGAAGAGCTGGTTTGATAACTTCGTGCTTGAGTGGCAGAGAACACCCCTCCTTTCAGGATTTTGAACTAGTTGGCAATTAACAGGACACACATTGCACAGGTCAAACATGTTAACTACAGAACAAGTGCCACTGCTTGTCCCAGCAGCATAATCAGCATATGCAACCCTGTCAGGTGTCCTAGGCAGATGTCACACCCTTTTTTGATCCTTTATCCTGACTTGTGGCTGCTCACCCTGTCACTCTGGCTAGTTGCTGTCTCAGGCAGCACTTAGGGAGCCTTTCTAGAAGGCTTCAATATCATGGCCAGAAAGGTCACATTACACTTCCAAGAATTACTTTCAGTACAGCCTCTGGAAACAAAGGTCAGGACAAGAAACAACCCCCTTCAAGGTCCGGTTTTCTGCAAGAGCACTGTGGAAATTCTCAAAGTAGAATAATAAACATGCTGACAACACTGTCTGGTCAGCTCAGGCCAGAAGTTTATGTAATTCACAACTCAAAGCCCCGTTCCTTGGCTGTCCCCCATTCCTCACCTGCCCCAGCACAGTCACAGTGTACTACTTAAAACTCAGAATTTAATCTGATTTATTCTAATCCCACAGAATGCTCTAGGTTCTTGCAATAGTCCAGTCCCAGCAAATCAAGTATAAAAGACATGATTACTACCTTTAGAAGACGTGGCATTCACAGAATGGCCACTTCTACACTAACTTCTACTACTACACTACTTCTACTTTCTAGCCTGCTGGACTGTACTATGGATTTGCAAAGTTCAAGGCAGCATCCCTTTATAGGTCTCTATAACAATACATTTTAGTACTGCTACAGAGACAACCAAAACAACAGACTTTTGTTGGTTTGGGGGTTTTGCTTGTTTTTTATAGTACATTTTAACACTTTGCTAAGCCCAGTTTCACCCCAGTAATGGAGTTAGCAACCCAGTACATTCACACAGGGAGTGGTTGTTTTAGAGGAATGTTCCATGTTCTGCACACACAACAGAGAGGCAATGCTGCCTCCCACCACAGGATTAAAGACTGATCGATTCACTCACTCATGGGGTTGATCATATGCTGTTGGAAACTCCCATGTGCACAGAAGATCTGAACCTCAGGCTTTTAGTACATACATAAGAGTCCTCATCTGTCAAACCATATGGCACTAGAACTTGTAGCACAGTGGTGCAGGCCCAGGAAGTTACAGCTATATTTTTCTTTTTTCAGGATGTTAACCTGACCTTTGAAGTTTCTGTAGTACTGAACTAGCAGACTGCAGACTAAGGTCAGATCTGCTGCTCTGTCTGGAGCTGATGCAAAAAGATCATCAACTGGACTTGCCCTTGAGCTCTGCCATCCATTCACACCTATTACTGTGGCTGTTCACCTATCAGTCCCTATGTCATTCTGGCTTCTTCCAACCTGAATTATTCCATTAGAACCTGTGGGCTAATGCATGGCTCTGACTGACATGATCACTTCCTAACCCAGGTCAAACAGGCTGGGAAACACAAGAGAAGCAACACTGTGCAGCAAGACACAGAAGCAGACAGATTTGAATGGGAGCAAATATAGCCAAGGGAAGATACTACCACTCAGTTTCCCTATAAACTCCTCATTTCACTCAGTAACTACAGCAGGACTGCTATTTATTCTCACCAGCTAAGTACCCAGAACAAGCACCATTTGTTGAAATACTAAGCCAGATTTTGAGAACAGTAGCTTCTTGTTAATGCAGACAGTATTTCAACTGAACAAACCCCACTAAATAACCCATTTCTTAAACCACGAGGTAAAATGAAAAGCCAATTCCTGCTTCCCCTAAGTACACAGCCAGCAGCTGACCTACTTGTCCTGCAGTGTAAGAACACGAGCGTGAAAACACTCAGACACCTGCACGCTATGAAAATAAGAGACAGCCTGCTTTAAATGCAAGTTCTTCCCTTTAAGCACTTTAGTTGACAGAAAATACAAACAGTTACCTTT